TACAATCAGTGCTCGAATCATTTGATGAGAAATGACTTCATACTGACTTGTTTGCAGATTTTGAGCACAGTGTGAGATATTATTTTCTGAAACTCGAGAGGAGACACACGTGAAATTATCAGTCTTCATTGTGTTTTTCTTTCTTCCGAGAGTACCAGTGTTATTTTAAGTATCATTGAGATATCATTTTTGTGAATATATTGAATTAGATTTTAATTTTATATTTTCTGATTTTACTTTAATTTTAGTTAAAGTTTTAGTAATTGTGTTGTGTTTAAAAATTTTTGTTTTTATTAGTTTTAGTTATTTTTAAATATGTTCATATAGTTTTTTTTATTTATTTGTTCTGGTTTATTTAGTTTTATTTTACTGCTTCAAATAAACTAAACAGAAATGTTGCCCTTATAATATTCTAGATTTCAATTATTAGTGTTCTGTTTTAATTTTAATTTAAGGTAAATTTATATATATATATATAGTGTTTGTTAATTTTAGTTTATCTAGTTTTTAGTATTAAACTTTTAAATGTTGCATTTAATATTTTAAATTATATTTAAATAATTTATTTTCTGTTTTCACGTTAATTTTAAAGTTTTAGCATTTTTTTATTAGTTATTTTAAATATATCTATATAGTATTTATTAAATTGTACTCATTAGCTTTAGTTTGAGTTATTTTAGTACCTCAAGTTAGACTAAACAGAAATCAGAAATGTTGCACGTGCCAACCAGCTGAAATAAAATAAGTTTACTTTTTTACCTTTTTATTTCATTGAATGTTTATTTTATTTCTAATAAGGAAAATGACATTAGATAGTTTTATTTTTAGATGAACACATGCACAACACAAACCTTCTCTTTCAAATAATACAGATAAACACACAAATCTGATTTTGAGAAATCTTTAATAAAACTATCCCTTTATGTTATTCTTTTTGTCAAGTCATGTGAGTGTGGTCTCTTTTTAGGCCAGGCGTTTGCTGATCCTCTTGTAGACAAGGCTGCCAAGAGTCAGAGTCTGAAACACAACAGCAATCACATGAGTTTAACTCTATAAAACTCTATAAAGCATCACATGTGCACTGATCTCACTCACATTGACCAGCGTGTTTCCATCCACCAGCTCCGTGACGGACGTGACTTTGTTCAGGACGGTCTTTAGCTTGTTTCCCTCTTTATTCACGACAGCCTAGAACACAAACGACAGCATTATCATCAATGCAATGAGACGCTCGTAAACTCATGCATGCAGGTCTGTGAGCGCAGCGTCACCTTGATTTTCTCTCCGGTCAGGGTTTCGATCTCTGCCTCCTGTCCGATGGTGAAGCTGTTGATCATGACTTTGGCTCCGGTGGTGACGATCACTTTGAACTGATCTCCGTTCTCCTCGATCTCAGTCACGCTCTTGATGTCTTTGCCTTTCTCAATCAAATCATCAGGAAGACCTGAAACGATAATCAAGTGATGAGCAATGCAATACATGAAACACTCAATGCAATGCATGAAATACTCAATGCAATGCATGAAATACTCAATGCAATGCATGAAATACTCAATGCAATGCATGAAACACTCAATGCAATGCATGAAACACTCAATGCAATGCATGAAACATTCAATGCAATACATGAAATACTCAATGCAATGCATGCAACTGGGCATTTTATCAGCATTTCATTTACATCCAGCATACAATTTTGATTTGCACTCACCGACGGCCTTCATGAACTCCACGAATCCCTCCTGACTCTCCAGCTGATATTTCCCACTGAACGACATGCTGACCGGTGAATGTAGAGTAACTCCAGAGAGTCTAAGAGATGCTTTTATATCATCAAACGCGCAGATGAAGAATCATTAATCTGACTGGATGATCCTGATTGGCCGATTACTGTGAAATCAGGTTAAATGTCATGTGGGGTGAAACAGTGCTGCACAGATCTATAAAAGGTTAGGTTTGATCAGATCCTGGCCTTCACCTTTGCCCTCATCAGCATGACATCATCACCAGGGCTATCTAGTGTCAGTGAGACACTATTGTAGTTTATAATCATTTCAATTAGATTTTTATTTTCTGCTTTCACTTCAATTTTAGCGGAAGTTTTAGTGCTTGTGTGTTTTTGTCATTTCTATTTTTTGTTCATTTGTCTATTGTTTTATTTCTATATATTTAGGTAGTTTTAGTTTACTTAGTTTTATCAATTTTTGTTAAGTTGAACTAAATGAAAATAAGTAATGTTGCCTTGACCACTAGTTAAAATTAGTTTACATTTCATTTCATTTCAGTTCAGATTTATTCCATTTTCGTTGCGTTTTGCTTTAGTTTTAATTATTTTGACTACTTTAATCAAAAATGTAAATAAAAAAAAAATGTTGGCTTTGTCACGGTTCTGTCAGAGAGAGAGAGAGAGAGACCCAGATGCAGAATGATCAAGGGAGTGCGGTTTATTGACAAGAC